CCAGCTCCTTTCCCGCCCCGAAACGCGGCATCTTTTCCAGCTCCGGCCCCTTTCCCGGCTGCTCCGGAGGCTGCGACGAGTTGCCCGGTCTCAGCGCCTGGCGGAGCCTCCGCTGGGAGCCGGCGGCTGGAGCCGGGATTGGCAACAGCAGGTAGGGATACGCGTGGGGGGGTGTTTTCCCGCTGCTTCCCGAGGTTTTCCCTGCTGGAAAAAGGGGGAAGGAGCGGCTCGGAGCGGCTCGGAGCGGCCGTTCCCGCCTCGGGATGCTCCGTATCCCTGTATCCGTTCACGGAAGCGGCTCCGGAGACGCCGGAGGACCTTGCTCCGGCTGCTTCCCGCGCCRGTTCCGCTCATCCCGCTGCTATTCCCTTGGGAAAACAAGTCCCGCCGCCGCCTGCGACCGGGAGGAGAAATCCCACCGGCGCCGAGGGCTCGGGAGCCGAATTCCCGAAGTCGGGATAACCCCAACGGTGCCGGAATCAAACGCTCGGCGTTGGATTTGCCGCAGCGGCGGGAGCGACGCACGAGCTTCCCATCGGATCGTCCCTGCTCCGGGTGGGAAAAAAGACGCGTTTTCCCGTTAAACGCTCTCCTTAACGGGACTTTGGAATCAGTTTTCCTGCTGTCTGGATGATTTGATGCYGCTCGCCGGAGGCTTTTCCATGGAAATCGTGTGGAATCCGTCTCGGCGCCCGGGRTCGGAGCAGCTTTATCCGCAGGGAAGCGGCCTCGGGATTCCTCCCGGATTGATTTCCAACTCCGGCGCTCGCGCTAGCAAGAACGGCTGAATATTTTGGGGAGAAAACCCCCCGTTTCGGCGACATGCGGCGCGGAYGCATTCCGGCACCTTCGGATCCGGGGGTGCCGACATCCCGCTTTTCCCGGTCGGATGCACCATCCCGCTTGTCCCTCCGTGGAAAGGAGAGGAAAAAAACAACTCGTGCAACGGGGATCTCTTAATCTCCGGCTTTTCCCGCCTCGTCTCCGGCTTTTCCAAGCCACGACTCTTCCCAACTCTTGCTTTTCCCACCCGCTCCAAGCTTTCCCCCTATTTTTGACCGCCTCTTTTTGCCTTTTCTCCATTTTTTTTCGTGCCAACGGCCTCCAAACCCGCCGGGTTTCTTTTCCCCCCCAGGTTTTGCTTTTCCCCTGGGATGGATTCCCCTTTTCCCGGCGCCTTTCCAGGGAAGGAAGCAATTGTCCCCACTTAACCGTCTTTGCATTTAAATCGCTCCGCTCCCGCTCCGCCTTTGCCGCCCGGATGGGCTGGGGGAGGGCGGCCGCACTCGCGGCTGCTCCTCCGGTAAGACGCTCCTTTTCCCTACTTTTCTTCCCATGGGAAGAGCCTTTTATCCCTGTTTTTTTCCCCCTAGGAGAAAAAAAAGGCCGTTTCCCRACGCTTTCTCCACCTTTTTGGCCGTTTTTAAGGGCGGGATCCATTTTTTTTCCCCTTTTTTTCCTCCCCCTCTTTGGAGAAAGGTGGGATATGGATGAAGCAAGGAGGGATCTTTGGAATTCCCGCGTTTTCTTTGGCTTTAAACCCCATCCGAGCAACGCGCTGGACACGGATGGAGCGGCACCGGCCGCAGCGGGAGCCGTTCTCCCCATCCGGCAAAGCCGGAGCGGGAAGGAGCTCATGGCAGGGAGGGAGATGCCGCTTTCCCTTCCCAAAATTCCCATAATTTGGGGAGCTTTTCCCGGCAAGGGGGGGACGCGGCATCCATGCATCCAGTGCCTTCTTTTCCATGCCCGAATCCCTTTATTTTGGGCGCTCCCTTTCTCTCCCTTCTCCTTTCCATGTGCGCTCCGGAGTCGCGCTCCGGATGGCTCCCTGGAGGGTTGGACTCTTCCCACCTCCATCCGTGCCGGGTTTTTCCTCCGGGATTAGAAAACCAGGGGGGAAAAAGCTTTGGAAAAAGCTTTGGAAAAAGCTTTTCCACTCGGCTAAGCTGGGGCCATCCAGGGCGCCTCGGGGCGCTCGCTCTCCCGCTCGGCATCTCCGGCGCTTCCCAAGCGGCTCCCGCTGGATTTGGGGGCTGCTTCCCAAGGAGAAACTCCGGAATTCGGGAGTCGGGTTTTTTTCCCGGCTGCCGACGGAGCAGCTGGTCCGTGGGATGCGCTCGGAGCCGGCGACGCGCGGGAGCTGCCGGCGAAGAGGTGCCAGGCAAAAGTCGGGATCGTCGGAGCGCTTTGGATACCCACGTGAAGGAATTCCTCTGGGAATAAGAGGTTTTTTGGGGATATTTTTGGTTTCCCGAGCCGGGGTGCTGAGATCTTGCTTCATCCGGAGAAATTCCTGCGCTGCTGGATCCGATTTCCGAGCTCTTCACCTGCATTTTCGGATGCTCATTCCTGAATGGACGAGCCCCTTCCCGGTCTGTGATCCGTGTGGCTGCGGGTCGGGAAAAGGGCGGGAAAATCCATAACGGAGGGAGACGTCGTTCCCGCATCGCGATCCGGAGTCGGATCCACGGAAGGCGCCACTTCCCAAATGGAAAAACCCTTGGAAAGCCGCAGCCTTGGGAAAGAGCACGGAAAAGCCCTCGATACCCCCCACATGCCGGGAATCCAAGCGGGAATTTGTGACCCCTTCAAAGCCCCAAAATCCCTTGGAATGGGGAGAAAAAAAGACAGCGACGGGCTCCGGAGCGGGATTATCCCACGGGATTGGGAAAAGCGGATCCCCCGGAATGATTTTAGCATTATTCTGAATTATTTTAGCGTTATTCGGAATGATTTTAGCGTTCTTCCCATAAATCCGTATTTTTCCGCCCCCCGCGGCGGCGGCTCTGGGCGCTTTCCCTCCGCGGCCCCCGGGGCGATGGGATGGGAAGAGGCGGCTCCGGAGAGGCCGGATAATTCCCTCTCCTCATTTGCATTGTTACCTTGAAGGTATTTATAGTCCTCGCCTCTTTCTCGCCCGGGTAAATTTAGCTCCTCCGGGCTCTTTTCTTCCCGATAAGCTCCGCTTTTTTGCTCTGCTCTCCCAATTTTTTTCCTCCTGCTCTTTTCCAATCCGACGGAGCGGGATCTGCCCCGGCTTGTCCCATGGGAACCTTAGGAAATCTCCTTCCCGTTTCCTTTCCCCTGTGGGTTTTATCCCTATGGAGTTGTTTTTCCCCGTGCGGGAAAGAAAACGGGGAGAAAATGGGTGGTTTTGGGTGCTCCGTGCGGAGAGGTGGGAATTTTTCCCGTGTAGCCGCAGGGATGCGGGTGGTTGGGTGGGAATGAGGGTGGCCTTGGGATGGAGGATGGTGCCGTCAACCTGCTGCTGCATCCCAGGAATCCCGGTGTCGCATCCTGGAGCTTCATCCCGGTGGTGCCGGAGTTCCCGGAGAGCGGGAGCTTTCCTGGGATACTGATTTGGGATGAGGAAATGGAATTCCGGGTCTGTTCGTGGGCAACTCTCCGCCATCCCGATCCATGCGGGAACGGAGAAGGATCCCTCAGCCTCATCCCGGTACCGGAAATCATCTCCCAATATGGGAAGCTTGGGAGCTTCCCATGAAGACCCACTGGGTGCTCTCCCTTGGATACATYCCGGGAGTGGGATCTGGGAAGCGGGATCTTCCTGGCGAAAACCCCCACTCCTCTCTCACATTCCCCCCTTTTTTTCCCCGCTTTCCTGTGTTTTTTCCCAGATTTTTCCGGCAACCCCCCGGCCGAAAACGCGGCGTTTCCGGGCGGGCGACGCGGCGCCAGCGGCGAGGGATGGAGAAACCCGACCCTCCTTTCCCGGAGCAAACGCAGGAAGAGCCGGGAGTGCCRCCGGAATCCGCGGAAGAGCCTCTCCCGTCCCCCGAGTGCTCCCAAGGTGCCGAGCGCCGGGCGTCTTTTGCGGACGAGGCTCCGGAGAGCCCGGATCCRTCGGGAGCGGAGCTCTTCGCTTCCCAAATCCCGCCGGCCGCCAGCCGGGATGGTGGCGACGGGATCGCGGGCGCCCAGGAGGATCCCGCTTTCTTCCCGCCTTTGGTCTGCCCGGAGCCGGACGTCACCTTGGAAGGCCACCACGTGGCAGGTAAGAGGATGGCCATATCCATCCATCCATCCATCCATCCATCCATCCTTCCCGGTCTGTTTTTGTGCCATTGGGATGTTTTTCTTGGAGAAGGAAGGTGGGATGGAGATGTCGGAGTCTTCCTGCTCCGTTGGATTTGCTCCGCTTGGAGGACCGCTCAAGCGGATGTTTCGTGGTGGATGGGTGGTCACCGGGGCGCTTTCCGGTGTTGGAATGTCRCCAGGAATCCGACGGCACTTGGAAAAGAGTGGGATGCGTGGAGGGAGAGGCTTCCCGAGCCTCTTTTCCACCCTTTTTCCCATGTGTCTGGATGTCTTGGTGGAGCGTTGGGCTTGCAGGGTTCCCCGTGCTCTTTTTCTGGAGAGCTTGGGAGAAGGAAATCATGGGAAACGCTTTGGGAATGGGAAAGCGGAAGGAATTGCTAGCTGGGATCCCTGCCCTGACATTCCCACCTTCAGCACCACAGACAGGGATGCAAAAAATCCCATTGGAGCTGTGCAAAAATCCAAGGGGGATGCAAAAATCCGGGGGCTTTTCCCCAATTCCTTGCTGTTCACAGGCTTCCCGCTCCATGGGAAGCGGATCCTGAAATCCAGGCGGCTTCGGATACCTCTCGGCCACGTGCTTTCCCAATATCCCATTGGATATTGGCCTGCCCCTTGGCAGGGCTCTCCTAATATCCCATTTTTTCTGCCTAATTCCCATCCCAAGTGCTCATTTCCTTCCGCTTCCGCAGCAGGGATCCCTCGGAGGGGGGAAAAAAGCCTGGGAAAAGTGGGATTTTAAGGATCGGGAGCCGCAGGGCATCCCATGGGATTGCAGCCTGGCGCCTCGGTGGGATATCTTGCTGGTTTTCCGATGTGATGGTTGGATCGGGATCCAGAGGTTRGTTGCTGATGGATTTTCTCGGAGCCCCGAGGAAAAGCTCATGGAAAAATCCACGTGGTCGGGAAAACCCTTCCTAGGATGTGTGGAAAAGCAGGAAAGAAGCCGGAAAAGCTTTGGGGAAAAAGCCACCAGGTCCTGGATTTGGGGACCTCCTGCTCTGGGGGTGTCACCACAGCGTGTGGTGCCACCAGGTCACCATGGGGACACCGTGGTGGCAGCTCCATGGGCTTGGGCTGTTGGTGGCCGTCCTGCTTCCAAGGTTGCCCAACTTCTGGTTGTTTGGACTGATCTTTGCAACTAGGAGACAGCTGGTGGCTTCCAGTTTGGGATAAAACCCCCCGGAATGGGGAGAAAAACAAAGGAATGGGGTTGGGAAAAGCTTGGAGAGAGCTGAGGAGGCGGAATAAGACCAGAGTAAATATTTGGGAATCTCAGGTTGGGGAATACAGAGAATTCCAGCCTGGAAATCTCTTAACATGGAGGTTGCTTCTTCCTGAAGTTGGGAAGAATGGAAGGTGGCTTTTCCTTTGGGATCGGAGAAAGGTGGGGCGTCGTTTTGGGAGGCCCTATGGAAGCCCAGGCTCGTCGGCACCTGTTGCTTGGAGAAGGTCCATGGGGACCGTGCTCCTGGTGGAGCTCCGTGTTCATCCAGGCCTTTGAAGGCCTGGTGGGATGATGTCAAGGTGTTTCCCAAGCCGACGGTGCAGCCGGGTCGCACAGCGTGACCTCAGTTGGGTTGTAGTTCTGGTGACGGGTCAGCCGCGCTGGTGGTTGACCTCGCGTTTGAAGGCCAACGTGGAGAAAAAGAGGAGACCTGCAGGGTAGGATGTTGTTTAAGATCCATGGTTGAGTCTCCATGGTCTTCTACAGTGTCCTCGTCCTTGAACGAAGGCTTGGTGGCACCAATGATTCACCGCCACATAGGTGTGGTTAGATCTTAAACTGCTGCTGTCTGTCCTGGGTCTTGGTTGCTTTGTTGGAGGTCAACCAACCAACTCTCTTTGGAGGTAGGAACATGAGGTAGGAGGAACCAGCTGGAGCAGCTGGTCTATCAAAGCCTGGAAGACAAAGCCAAGGGCCAAAATAGGGGGCCAAAACACTTCCAGCCCTTGCGTAGCCAGGGATGGTCCTAGGGGAGATGTGTGGGGACAGGAAGAGATGTTGCTGTTTGAGTCTTAATTGGAGTCTTCTATGAGCACCTTGAGGGAAACAAGGTGGTTTTGATGGATCCTCGTGATGTATCCTCATGAACTGCTCCGGTTGACCAGGTGGATCCTCATGAACTGCTCCGGGTTGAAACCCTCTTGGTTCCATCTTGGGCCAGTTGCCCCCAGCCGCAAGAGCGATGAGGAAACTGGTGGAAACCCCTCCAACCCCCTTCTCCAAGCAGAGCAGCTCGAGCCTTCCCGTCCCGGGGCACATTTGCCGACGGTTGGACTGTTTTCCTGGCCCTCCCTTGGACCCCTTCCAGGAAAGATAGGAGAGTCATGAGATAGGCGCCCGACCAAGGTGCAGCTCTTGATAATCTCCTGCAGGGCCGTCCTTGGTGTCTGTGTCCRGTGACTGTTGGTCTTTTCCAAGGCTTTGGGTGGCTGAGAGGCCGTGTTGACCCTCCGGAGCACGGGGTGACTATTGCTCAGTGTTATCTCCTGGCCACCTGGGGCCAAATCGCGTTAGGCCGCGTTCAACGTGCCGGGTTTCAGCTGAGCTCGACTGGAAGCTGGAGCTCGTGGTCCCCGTGACCTTCCTCCCTCGTTCTGGTGGCCTCGGAGCCGGCGCGTGTCGCCGGGAAAGATGTCGTGTTGTCGCCTAGCGAATAAAKAATGGGATGGACGAGCCCAAGACGATGGGCAGGGTTTCACCTGGGACGTGGAGTTGGGAACGCTGAAGTTGCCTGGAGAAACGCGTGGCTCCTCCTGGCGAAGGAGCAGCCCAACYTTGGGGTCTTCCTGAAGGCTTTGGGGGTGGGTGGGTCTAGGGGTGGCTTAGACAAGCGGCAAGGTCTTCTCAACGGGGTTTGGAGCTTGGTGGCTCTCTAAAGGTGCCTTGGGCAAGCGTCGAGGTCCTCCCAATGGGGTTTGGAACTTGGTGGCTCTCTAAGGGGGCCTTGGGCAAGCATCAAGGTCTTCCCAACAGGGTTTGGAGCTTGGTGGCTCTCTAAGGGAGCCTTGGGCAAGTGTCAAGGTCTTCCCAAGGAGATTGGGTATTGGTGGCTCTCTAAGGGTTCTTTGTGCAAGCGTCTAGGTCCTCCCAACAGGGTTTGGAGCTTGGTTGCTCTCTCTAAGGATACTTTGGGCAAGCATCAAGGTCTTCCCAATGGAGTTTGGGTGTTGGTGGCTCTCTAAAGGTGCCTTGGGCAAGTGTCAAGGTCTTCCCAAGCAGGTTGGGTGTTTGTGGCTCTCTAAGGGTGCCTTGGGCAAGTGTCAAGGTCCTCCCAATGGGGTTTGGAGCTTGGTGGCCCTTTAAGGGAACCTTGGGCAAGCGTCGAGGTCCTCCCAATGGAGTTTGGAGCTTGGTGGCTCTCTAAGGGGGCCTTGGGCAAGCGTCAAGGTCCTCTCAATGGGGTTTGGAGCTTGATGGCTCTCTAAAGGTGCCTTGGGCAAGCGTCAAGGTCTTCCCAATGGATCTCGGGTCTTGGTGGCCCTCTAAGGGAACCTTGGGCAAGTGTCAAGGTCTTCCCAATGGGGTTTGGAGCTTGATGGCTCTCTAAAGGTGCCTTGGGCAAGCATCAAGGTCTTCCCAATGGATCTCGGGTCTTGGTGGCCCTCTAAGGGAACCTTGGGCAAGTGTCAAGGTCTTGCTGAGGAGATTGGGTGTTGGTGGCTCTCGAAGGGTGCCTCGAGCAAGCATCAAGGGCTTCCCAATGGAGTTTGGAGCTTSGTGGCTYTCTAAGGGGGCCTTGGGTGGGTGTGAAGGTCTTCCCAAGAGGTTTGGGATTTGGTGGCTCCCTAAAGGTGCCTCGGGCAAGCGTCAAGACGGGCACAGGGCGTTGACACAAGGGTGGGATGGAGCACCGCGACGTCCCCGCGGGTTGACGAGGCGGCCTTGGCCGTGGCCCTTGCGCGCGGCCGCTCCGTCCTCTCCTTCCATGGCTGGGCTCTTTCCGCGGAGCTTTGGCCCGCGTCCGTCGGGAGCGCTTCTCCAAGCAGAGCACCTGCCATGCCAGTCTCTGGGCATCTATAAATAACCGCCCGGAGCCGGCACTAACCAGGCCACGCTTTAAAAATAAGTCGGGGCTGAGCCAGGATGCCGCCTCTCAAACTAGGACGAGCCCAAGGGGAGCCCAAGCCCTCCATCCTTCTCCTCCCACTGGAGAGCTGAAGCCGGGAGGCGTTTCCAGGTGGGAAAGGGGCCGGGGTTGTTGCTTGGAGGCTACGGACTCCGGAGCTGGAGCCTCGGGGTGTTGGGTRGAGCGAGGCTCCTGTTCCCGGGGTAAATCCCATGGGATGTGGAGCCCGGTGTATCTGCGTAGGTGGCTTGAAGGTGGACTGCTTGAGCTGGGTGCTGTGGGGACATCTCTGAACCTTGTTGTCCCCTTGGCTGTGGTCGTTGACCCCTTGGTCATGGCCATTGTCCCCTTGGCCACTACCCCTTGGTCATGGCCGTTGTCCCCTTGGCCATTGCCTCCTTGACCGTTGTCCCCTTGGCCATGGCCATTGTCCCCTTGGGCATTGCTCCTTGGCCGTTGTCCCCTTGGCCATGGCCATTGTCCACCTGGCCATGCTCAACACAGACTCCTGCTCCATCCCAACTGCTGGATGACTGGGCAACCCAAGCAAGTGGCCAAATCCCGCCTCCAAATAGGAGAAGGGATGAAAATTATCCCGAGGAACGTGAAGGTCRTGGCCAGGAGTTGTTCTGCAGGGGCCAAGCCTGGGTTGCTGCCGCATCAAGTCCATGGTCTTTTCCTGCTCCCAGCAAATGGGAGCTCTTGGAGCTCCCATTGGAGCAAGGGAGGAGGAAGCGTCGCGTGAAGGACACTCAACTCATCCACAGGTCTCCAAGCAGATGAATCATCTCAGCACCTTCTGAGGTGGTTGGGGAGCCCTTGGAGCACCCGGATGCACCGACCGGCCGCGATTGGACAGAAATGGTGAATGTAGAGGTCAAGT